GTCCCTCTCTCTCTCTCTCTCCCTCTCTCCCTCCCCCACCCTCTCCCTCCCTCTTACATCAACGTCATTGCTGGTTTGTCTCAATGCTCTCCTAATCTCCTCCTCATTCTCCGTTATGTTCATATCTTTAATGGCCGCCACATTCTTCTCGTACTCCTCCTCTGTATACGCTTTGGGAGGCGTGTCCTCGGACATAATTAATAACTAACAATAAATAATTTTAAAAGTATATATTACTATAAAAATAATGATAATTATAACAATGATAATATAATAGCAATAATAACAATAATAATAATTTTACATATTATACATGTACATTAATGCATTTCAGCAATTACCCATAGCCCAAACCACACCCATATTCCTAAAAATATACATGCATAAAAACACAACCCAAAACTACATGTAAAATGTACATGTACATGTACATACGCTATGATTGTATCTATACATTAAAGGACACATATAACTAAATTTGTATACATAAAAGTGGTTTATTATAAGGTCCCCTGTAGCAATAATTGTGTTTATAACACTTATTAGTTGATTTTAAGGGTTTCCATTGCTTACTGAATTACTGCTCCTGGAGGATCAGTCTAATGAACGAGAAGAATATAACGTACTTTTTGTAGGGTAGGGGGTCTTTATAAAGGGTGGAGGCAGTCAGGGAAAGAGAGAGAGAGAAGAGAGAGGGAGGAGAAAGTAAAGCAAGCTAGCTTTGATAAGTAAATTTTAATCTCTCCTCCTTCTGACCTTCTCTAATGATCACGTGGGTGGCAAGGGCGTGGCTCTTCATGGGCGGTGCTTGAATATTTGGCGCCAAAAATTGCAATTGTAGAAAGGTGTGGCTGGGGTGCTTTTGCAAGCAGGAATGAGCAACCTTGCAAGCTCCAGTAATGGTGCTACAGTCCCTCTAGCTACCTCAAACGATGAGAGATACCCACCAGAAGCTCTGATAGATGGGTGAGACATTAGAAATAAAATATGAAGCTATTTTGCAAGCACAAGATGCATTACATTGCTGCTGTTTTTAAGTGT